AAATGTTTTGCCTGTATGTGCACCACATGTGTGCAATGCCTGCAGAGGCCAGAAGAGGGCATCCCCAGTTACAGATGGTTGTGAGCCACCATGTAGGTGCTAGGAACTGAATCCAGGTTGTGCTGGGTAGCTATAGTGTCAACTTGACACACCTGGGTTGAGGGAGTCTTAACTGGGGAATTTCCTCTGTAGGGCTGGCCTGTGGTCATGTCTGTGGGGCATCTTCTTGATTGTTGAGTGATGTAGGAGGACCCAGCCCACTGTGGGTGGTTCCACCCCAGGCAGGTGGGCCTGTGTTGCTTAAGAAAGCAGGCTGAGCAGAGGCCAGGGGAGCAAATCAGTAAGCAGCGATCCTCCATGGCCTGTGCTCCAGCTCCTGCCTCCAGGTTCCTGCCCTGTGTTCCTACCTTGGGCTCCCTGATGAACTATGACCTGGGAGATGTAAACCAAATAAACCCTTTCCTCCCCAAGTTGGTAGTGGCCAGAGTGTTTTATCATAGCAATGGAGAAATAAGCTAGAACACAGGTCCTCTATAAGAGCAATCTGTGCTCCTGACCATTAAGCCATCTCTCCAGCCCCCTGACACTGTCTTTTAGGACCAGACTTCTAGCAATATGGACAAGGACACACCTTTCTGGTGATGGAGAGAAAGCCTGTTGTACATGAAGTATTTGAGGTTTCTATGTATCTCGCTCTATACCTAATCGTTGCTTGAGTCATGTTATCCACTGACTGTGAATGAGAAAGTAAGCTGCTTTAACCACTGTGTCTCAGCTAAGCAATGGCATGGCTCTGGCCTCATGAAAAGAAAATGTTCATTTAGTAAGAGCAGCTGCTGTAATTAGTCAAAACTCTGTTTTCTTCTGAAATCATTTTTCTGCATACATTTCTACAAAACCAGAGCACCGACTTTTATGAGTTTATTTTGATTGCTCTATTAGTTGGGTCAGTGATTAAATAACTTGTTTTGAGGGTATTGTATCAAGATCAAGTCAAATAACACAGAGACCCTCTCGGAGTTGTTGGCAAAAGTTTCCTAAAACTCAGCTTTGCTGTGGCAGCAGTAGCTGGTCACACTGGGGGTGGGAACCTTCTCCTACCAGGAGGTCCTGCCCTTGCCAAACTGGGCTTCTACTCCAAACTCAATTCTCCCTTTGTTTACCATCGGTCCTGGATAGAGACAGGTCCAAACTGTAAAACGTGTGTGTTAAGCATGATTTAAATGTCACTTCCTGGACTATCTATATTGGTCACCTCTAATTAAGGTTCAAGTTGAAATGATGTTTCCCTCTTCTGAACCGTAGCAACTAGAAATCAGAACAGCAACATCAGAACAGCAACGTGCTGGGCCTCTGGCATGCTGAGCCCTCCCCCTGGTCTTCTCAAAGAGCCCAGACAGAAGTCCAGAATTTAGGGACTCCTCAAGAGCTACAGATGTGTTATGGACAATGAGGAAAGGGTAGGCTGCGATGTGGGGGAGACCCAAAGAAGGGGAGGCAAGAGAGGCTGCCTGAGGGCTGACTTGCAAGCCAGCCCTATGGAGACCTCTGGGCCCCTCTAGCAGTCCAGAAGCACCTCAACACTATGGTTTGCATCTCCTCAGCTTGTTCTTACTTTTTCTACTCCAAGGCCAGTGTCCCTATCAGATTGGATTATAGCCCACAGCTCACTGCACCATCAGACTTGCCATCTGTAAACAGAAGGGAGTATGTATCAGCCAGAGAGAAGGGAGTTCAGGTCTGTGTCAAGGAAAAATGGGATGCAGTAGAGGAGAAAACTCCATTACAAACTCTCACAGGAGCCAGGATCATCCATCTTTCTCTCTGGTTGCCAGAGGGAGCTGCCTTCTGCCTACAGCTGCTACCATTTCTCTGAAGGAAAGGACTTGGGACATTTGTTCTCACTTTTAATTGCAGGATTAGAGGGATGAGATGGGCGATAACTCCCCATTTCAACCTTACAACCTAATGGTTCATTTTATCAGCATGGCGTCCTCTGGAACTGGAGGGAGCCAATTCCTTTCTAAATTTGCCCTTCACTGTAGCATCTTTGTGGTTCCTGAGTATGTTCTGTCCCCTGGGCCTTTTCTCCATGATTAATCTATTCTGACCAGACTTTTAGACCTACTACTGCCCAGATGAACTAGTGTTTTATTTCCAAAGCTCATGAGCTTTAGCCAGGGGATTTGATTTTGAGTTCAAAAGAGAAATAAAAAAAGACCAGACAGTGTTTTCTTCTATTGCCTGATATTTGTTTTTTATTTCCCCAGAGACAGAGCACTCTGAGAGCCCCCTTCCCAGACATGGGGTTCCATGCCCTGGAGGATCATGGTGAATTATGAGCTGGGTCACAGGCAATTACTGTTACTAATTAAAGTCTGTGAATAAATCGCTTTCTTTAAAAAAAGGGTGAATCCAAGGATATCTTTATGATGAAACTGTTTCTACTCATTTACATTCGGATGTGAATGGAAGAAAAAAGGAGTGAGGTACAAATAACGCTGCAAAATTATGGTTGTTAGAAATAGTCCTGGTAAAGGTATTTGTCCTGGAACTCTAGTGATATCTGGGATAGGGAAGCAAGCAACATCACCTGTCTTCTGATTGTGACAGAATGAGATTATGATTGGTTTATATACCAACCCAGATGTCACACCTACCCTCTTGCTTTGCTACCCAGAAGCCCAATCCCTCTGTACTTCAGTTTTTATTTATGAAAAATAACCAGAATGCATAGTTTTCCTCTGAGATTGTTTGGAAGAGCCTTGACTTGCCATGTTCAAATGGTGAACTTTCAATTATGGCAACAAAATTATCTTCAAAGCAAAACCTTTCAACTCTGCTCAGCACCAACCGAAGGCAGTGCTGGAGGTCACTTGCGTGGAGGGCAGATCTAATCTGTTGGCGAGCTCTTGGAGGATGTGCACTTTTAGGCTGGAAGGGTATGAAACATTGCCAAGACACCTGCTGCACCATTTGGTCACTGCTCCTTCCCTGGTCCCTGTACTGAGCACATTCTCATCAGGGAGCTCAATGGGGATGGGAGATGGGACATCAGTCTAGGTGTATATCTGTTATCATGGAGTAATTATAGATAACATCTGTCGCCATGTCCTGGTCTGTGAGATAAGCTATCTGGTCCTCCTACCCAGTGAGACTTAAGGCATTTGCTTCAGAGTCAGCATCTGGTAGTTTGTTCCAAGATGTTCTTTGCATCCTCTCTGAACAAGGAAGAGCCACACTGAGTCAAGAGATACAAAAATACTGTAATTGTCCTGTTTTGCGTTAGGATACAGGTGGTTCTCAACCTCAGCACTGTTCACTTTAGAGGCTGGATAACTCCTTGTTGCAGGAGTGGGGGGCCTGCAGGCTTTCATTGCACCTCTGACTTCCAGTAGATATCAGGAGCATGTCCACTTTGCCTTCCACTTGGGACAAGCAAAAATATGGCCTGGAATTGTAAATGCCTTATAGGAGATAAAATGGCTCCATGGAGAATCACCAATGCAACGCTGTTTATAGGTCTGCTTTGGTGTACGTACCGATGGGTGGCATCACGGCCAAGCAACCTGAAACAGCAACCAGAGCAGGAGTTCAGAAACATGCACTTCGGGGGCTTAGAAGTATATGCTGGTGGTTCTAAGCTCGAGATATAGAGCCACATAAGTTTGGGCTTGAATGTGACTCTGCCACTTATGAGCAACTTTGTGTGCACCATTCACACAAAGCCTTAGTTCCCTAACCTGTAAAATGGATTTCTCAAAAAAACTCCAGCTCTCACCAGAGAAATCTCCCTACGCAGCAGATGGTGATTAATACAGAGACCCGCAACGGCCAGTGTGCAGAGAACAGGAGGTTGCGGAGTGCTTATCCCAGAATAGGACACACGTGTCAAACTTTTGCCTCCCGAGGCTCAAGAATCATTGCAGAAAAGGGCCAGAAGTGATGGTGACCACAAGGAAAGAGAGTTTTCCAGACAGCTGGTCAGTTACTCAGATGAACTCACAGCAGTGGTGACAACATGCACAAGTCCCATGCAAGTTCAAACCAGACAAATTCTCAACATAGACATGGGGAAATGGGTAAGAAATCCCAAACCAACATAAGGAACATTTGGCAACTGATGGCTTTTTGGAGGGGAAGAGACAGTCTCTTCCTAGGATGGGATTTTTGGTAGTTTGACCAGCCTCCAGTGTATGGATCACACTGAAGGGCATTTGGAGACACAAATTAGACTTTATAAGCCTTATTTTCCTCCAGTGTATGGATCACACTGAAGGGCATTTGGAGACACAAATTAGACTTCATAGGCCTTATTTTTAGATAGATGATAGATAGACGATAGATAGATGATAGACAGATGATAGATAGAATAGATAGATAGATAGATAGATAGATAGATGATAGATAGATAGATGATAAAGTACATTAAATTAGGGGGCACTAAGGGGGTGTGGATGTAGATAGATAGATAGATAGATAGATAGATAGATAGATAGATGATAAAGTACATTAAATTAGGGGGCATTAAGGGGGTGTGGATAGGGGAAGGGATCTAAATGTCACAAAATTATAATGTATGAAAATTGCAAAAATTTAATTATAAAGAGTCTCTATCTCTGGAGTCAGTGGTGAGTAAAAATGATGCACGACATGTAAGGTCTTCGTGTGTTCTCTGCATACAGAAAGTGCCCAGAAATTGTGCAACAATAATGATGGTAGATCTTACTGACATTTAACATTGGGCAGAGTCACATGACAGGTGAATGGGCTGCTTTGTTGCAAAAGGTCCTGTTGGAAAGTCAAGCGTCTTAGAGGCAGGTCTTTTTAAAAATATTTTATTTATTATTTTTATTTTACATGTATGCGTGTATTGCCCGTGTGTAGGTAAGTGCACCCGTGTTGTGCATTGCCCACAGAGGACAGAGAGGCTGTCGGATTCTCTGGAACTGGAGTTACAGACAGTTGTTAGCTGCCATGTGGGTGCTGGGATTCAAACCTGGGTCTTCTGCAAGAACAACCAGTGTTCTTTACTGCTGAGCCATCTCTCCAGCCCCTTCTTAGAGGCAGGTCTTTTATAGGAAGAATAATCGTGTGTTGCTTTTAAATATTTGGAGTTGACCTTCAGTTCTAGAAGTCTCTTCTCTGGTGCTGACTTTGATAAACAAGTACAAACAAATAAACATTCATTATATCAATATATCTTTAGGACACACAGCATACAGGGTTTCTCACATATCATATAGCCTGGCTTTCTAGTATATCCTACACACTCCTTAAATCTACCTAAGCCTCAACATGTGACAGTGCCTGCATACCCACTACCCTGGGACTAAAAGTGTCAACAATGGGCCACACTCCAGCTGATGCTGCATTTGTATCAAAGTCTACTCTAGACCACACTATTTTAAGAGGACAGGAGTCCTTCCCGCAAACTCAGCTCCCAACAGGCACCCTTTTTCTTGCCTCTATCCCTGGCTGTTTTCAAGCCTTTCCTTTGTAAAGGGTTGATTCTCTAGACATCAGCATCTTCAGCTATAAAATGATCAAAGGATACCCACATATGAGGTGCCTGCAATTATTAAATAAGCTAGGCATCATGCTCAGCATAGTGCCTAGACCAACTAAAGACCTTACACATATTTTGACTGCTCACTTCTTTCAGTCATAAATATATGACAAAGCAGTGCTTGGCCTGCTGCCTAGTATATCCAGTAAGCTCTTGTGCTCCCTTCCCCTCCTTCTGTCTCCCGCCATCATTTGGTCCTTGTAATTTGGATAACCTCAGTGAGAAGTTTCCTGGGGACCCCAGGGGGCCCGGATTGAGTCAGTGTAACAGAACTGACTGGTCTTCTAACCTCCAACTGAGCCTTACCTCTTAAAACATCCACTGCCTTCCACAAATGCCAATTCAGGGACTAAGCCTTTGATACTTGGGCCTTTGGAGGACTTGCAATCCAAACTATAGAAGGAAGGAATGGAGTTTGTTAGAGACAAAAATATTAATATGCTGCTCAGGATACAATGTGGGTCGCTGGGGCCAGGTGCTTTAGTGGTAATAGTCAAGCGTTCTTCAAGAGAATTTGGAATCCATTTATCTTGGGCTTACAGGTTCGGGGGACAGGAGCCAACTGAGAAATCTCACAGGCTGCAAGAAGAGCTGAGAAATTGCCCCCTAGTGGTGAAGGAGTATTTGCCACTCAGAGAAGCTTAGTGTCAACCTTCTAGATGTTTGTAGGGTTATAATATTTACACAATGGAGTTCTATTCAGCAGTAAAGAAAGATGAAATAATGAAATTTGCAGGTAAATGGATGGATCTAGAAACTGTTATACTAAGTGAAGTAACATAGACTCAGAAAAACAAACGATGTATGTTCTTCCTCTTATGTGGCTCCAAGCACCAAATCCTTTTAAATTCCAGGTCCTTTTAATAAGATGATGCCTTCTGCGTGAAATAACTACCATCATCATGACTTCGGCTGAGCCTGATCACTAAACATAGTCACAACTGGGCTTGTTGACGGTTGTGCTCATTCATTAAAGGAGTGCCAAGCAGGGTCATTGGACCCTCACCTGAGTATCCAGCCACTCTTTCCAGCCAACTAGTCCAGCCTTGGAGGACAAAAGAAAAATGAGGAAGAACACAATAGAGGGATAATTTTGGAAGCCCTTGTCAAGAAACTCCAATAGACTCTCATTTGAACATCTGAAAATTGCCCTGTTCTGACTTTTATCTAGTTCCCTGTCTAGAACTTGTAATGCTAATTCTTGCCTTTACTTCTCCTTCACATCTCCTATTCATGATTCAAGGACTTTCTTTTCCTCCTAGAGATAAGAGTTATGCAATTTGGGAGTCTTTTAGATAGACCAACTGAAGGGATACTCCAGTTGCCTAACCCTATGTTCCTATTCAGCATGGAAGAAGCCAGAGTGGTCTGTGTCCCTATTCCCTATTGGCAATTTGGGTAACCCCTTAAGAGGATGGTGTGATAAGAATAGGAGGTAGGAATTGGCTAGGCAATTAAAGTAAAAAGACCCCAAAGAAATGTAGCCAGTTTCTGGGCTAAGAGTCAAAATGTCCTTAGGCCTGTTAACAACACACTCTGTTCCAAAGGCCAAAAATGTCAAAATGTCAAAAGTATTTGGGAGCTTGTATCTAATCCTTAAAATATTTCAGGGCTACCTCTTCAGAGGAGGGGATGTTGGAGGGGAGAGAGAGGGCATGGATTTGTTCAAAACACCTTATATGCATGTATGAAATTCTCAATAAAGGTTTTGTAAAAGTTAAAAAAAATTATCTCCCCCGACAGTCATCACTAAAGCTGAGTGCACTAGCACATGTTTTGTATGCGTACAGTTTAAGGGAAGTTTAAAAAAAATCAAACCAGAGCTAGGTTCCCGTTGACACAGGTACATAGAACCAGCTCCCTAAAACAAGCTGGGAGCCAAGGTGGCAGCCTGCTTGAGACCCCTAGCCTACCAGGCTTTCACTAATGGGAAAGGTTTGGATGGGAAATCCCATAACACCATAAAGTGTCACCTGAAAGCCAAAGGGTGGCAAGGTCCCTCTTACCACACTGTCAATGTTATGCCACGTCTCTTGATGCCACTTTCACAGTTGACCTTGTTTGTAATTCTTTTTAGATGTGACAGAAAGTAGGCATTCCTATCCATAAATTAGCATCAATGGAGACACGATTTTCATAAAGACACTTTCCTGATAAATAGAAGCAAGGGAGATGCACATATGAAGCCTGAGTGTGACTGATGCTTTTGTGTGAAGTCTTTTGTGACACTGATTTGACCGTGTGCTGCCAATACAATTCTCCAGCTATGGTCTTTCCCTGTTTACAAGTGAAGCTGAGAGACATGCACGTTTTATTGAGTTGCTGCTGTTTGGTCATGTTTTCAGACATGTTAATTTATTTAAAGGTTTCCCAAAATTCTTTCAAGCAATGCTCTACCTCTGCCATACGAACAGAGTCAACATTGTTTCACATTCGTAGCATAATTAGGTTTTTTGATAAATGGTAAGAGAAAAATCAATACAACTTGCTATAAATAAAACTAATTCATAAAAGTATAGTAACAGGTAAAGATTACTGCCTACAAATTCCATGTCCCAGCCCTGCTGTCTCCATATTAACAAGGATATCGATAGAATCAGAGGTCCAGGGACTGGAGAACTAGCTCAGTGGTTAAGAGCACTGGCTGCTCTTGCAGAGGACCTGTGTTCAGTTCCCAGAATCTAAATGGTAGCTAAGAACCATCCTTAACTCCAGTTCCAGGGGAATCTAACACTCTCTTCTGACTTCCACAGGCATTGCCCCCATGTGATGCACTTCCATACACACAGGCAAAACACTTATACACACAGAAATCTTCCTCTGAGAACCACTCTAAGAGGATTCAAAAGAGAGTGGGGCGGGGGGGTAGGGAAACACCCTCTCACTGAAATGAAATGTTATTTAGTAACGCATGTGTCATAGTTGGAATGATCTCAGCTCAATGTGCCAACTGTTTTAGAAATGACCCCTTCTTAATCACTGGACTCATCATCATCATCATCTCAATCCCATGGGTGAAAAGAAAACTAGTTTTAATGATCAGTGAAAGCCAACAAGTAGGGAGCAGGGGTTGGAATCCAGGCAGCCTGGGGTCAAGTCCAGTGGCTGCATCCCCTCCCATTCGGGGAAGAAGGGACACTGGCAGTCACTGATCATGTTTGCTAGTTATTAACCTGACTCGGAGTCACAGTGTCTCACAATTCATACTTTTCAGTGGTTGCATAGACACATAACTTCACCTGTTTTAGTGACACTTACTCATTTGAAAAGGAAGAAAATTTATCTTAAGCTTAATGAGGCAAAAAGTCAATTTGTAGACTCAAATAACATTTAATCTAACACAAAGTCAGTAAAAACACAGGTAAAGCTGGGATTCTCTCTGTTCTCAGTAACAGTGATGACAAGCAGAATTAGCATCTTTTTTAGATTTCTGGAAACTTAGCAATATCTTGTAGCAACCTAGAATGTTTACTGAAGAAATACAGCTGAATTCATTAAGAACTGTGAGATTTGTGACATTCATCCTGCCTTAGTCCCTGCCCTTCACAACCACCTAGTTCCACAGTGCCATTGAAAAATGATGGCCTATGTTTCTAGTGCAAACTGGCAGCCACCAGAGACAGCAGAGTGGGCATTGTCTAGTCTGCTTTTTGAGGCTATAACAGAATGTCTGAGCCTGGACAATTTATAAAGAACAGAATTGACTTTCTCACTCTTCTTTATGCTGAAAGGTTGAAGATCAAGCTGTCAACATGTGGTACTTTATTTCTGCATCCTCACATGGTAGAAACTAGAAAGTCAAGAGACAGTGAACTAACCACTTCTACAAGCCCTGTCATTATCCTATTTGTCTGGCAGGTCTCTGAGGATCTCCACTCATGGGCTATCCAGATTTAGCCTGATTCAGTGTTTTCCTAGTGTAAAAAGATTTTTGCCCAAGATGCTTTGTTGAAAATAATTCCAGGCAGATGTTTAACTTTGCAGCTGCTCATGGCAGTGGGTAACAGGTGGACAAACACACAGATCAGCAAAATGGATAAACATTTAGATGAAGGAAGGAGGGAAGAAGAGAGGGAAAAAAGAGAAAGAATAAGAGGAGGAGGAGGAGGAGGAGGAGAGAAAGTGCTAGTTACTAAGATTAGGCGTGAAAGAGGAGATGCTGTTGCTTATAGAAATAGAAAGGATGGAATTGAATAATGTGAACGATTTCATGCCAACAAATTGGGTAACCCAGATGAAAGAGACAAATTCCTAAACACAAATAACTAAAACTGATTCAAGAAGAAATAGAAAATCTGAACATATCGAAAACAAGTAAAAGATCGACTTAGTCACATAAGAATTTTCCAGGACGGAAAGCTTGGGACTGAATGGCTACAATAGTAAATTCTACCACCGTTCTATAATTTAAAAGTCTTTCACAAACATTCATAAAACTGAAAAAGGTTTAGAACAAACCCAAATTCATCTTCTGGGACCAGTATTTCCTTCCTTTTAAAAACTTGACATTATAAGAAAATTATGAGCCAATATATTCCATACATTTGGATGTGAAAATTTTGAACAACAGAAAGTTACCAAACTGAATCCAGCAATGTGTAAGAGAATTATTTACCATAACTATGTAGGATTTATCCCAAGAATGCAAAGTTGATTCAATTTAAAAACAACTAAACAAAAACAGATTAATAGAATTCTAACATACTAAAACCTTTGCATGTTAAAGGACATTATCAAATAAGTGGAAAGATGTTACAGAGTAGGAATAAATTTTGCAAATCAAGTACAATATAATGTCACTTCATGCCACCTAAGATGACTATAACAAAAAGAGGATAACAGATGATGTTGAGAATGTGAAGAAAAATGCAATTCTAATGTACTGCTGTTGGGAATACAACATGGTGTAATCAGTTTGGGAAACGGTCTGAAAATTCCTCAATTTTTTATCAGTAAACGAAGAGCCAAAAAATGGGTAAAAGCACTTGACAGAAAAACCTGAGGATCTGGGTTCAGTTCCTAGAAACCGTGATAGAAACAGAGAAGACTCCTAAAATTTGTCCTCTTACCTCCATAGGCTCTGTGGTGCTCTCTCTCTCTCTCTCTCTCTCTCTCTCTCTTTCACACACACACACACACCCCTTCACACTCACACTCATTTTCTAATAAATATATCTTTAAAAAATAAAAATAGATGAATAGATGGGTGAGGCATGGCACTGTCATAAGTACAATGTGATGTGGCCACAAAAATGATGGAAGTTCTGAAATGCTACAAGGATAAATCTCAAAAGTGTACCAAGCAAAAGAGGCTAAACACAAAAGTCAGATACTTCATGATTCCATGTCCACTATAGGCAAATTTAATTGAGACAGAAAATAGATTTGGGTTT